AAATATGTCTGTGTGTGTGTGTGTTTTTGTTTTTCAATAGAATAGAATAGAATGGAATAGTGGGTGGGTTTTTGTGATATCCTGCGTTTGAGCTGTAAAACTGGGCAATTTTTGGGAGGATCACCAATCTAACTTCTTCTCTAAGCGAAGCCATCTGACAGAGGCTGCTTAAATGCCAGCCAACGCTCGTCTCAAATACAAGAACAGAACCCATGAGATTTCGCCATCAGAATCCCTATCCTTCATACCGGGGTAACTGGGGTGGGGGCGTGAATATATTACCTGCTTTTTCTGTAACTGAAAAGGGACCGTATCACTTTGTTTGGTTCCGAAAATCGATAAGCAAAGACTGAGAATCCCCCCCCCCCCCCCCCCCCCACACACAAGCATCCGAGCTTCCTGTAAATATATTGGCCTCTTCCATCTATTGGGCAAGGGCAGCAGCATACATATTCTTCTTAACAGCTCCACACCCATTCACCTTTTTTTCTTTTTCCTTTTTTTTTTTTTTACTGGCGATACTTATGAGTTAATTAATTAAATCAGCCCTGTTCTTCTTTTTTATTATTTATTATTATTTATTGTGGTGGGTGGGAACCAGAAGATCATCGAATATTTATTTGGGTACGAAAGATAAGATATGTGGTACTAGTACTAGAGAGCAGCAGCAGCAAGTGAAAGTACAAGAGTGTCTCCCATTCATTCCCAAAATGAAAGCGCTTCTCTTATCTGGGGAGTGCTTCTTGTATGCTACCACGTACTATTTAATAGTCACCAAAAAGAATTTTTTTTTTTTTGTTTAAAGAAAGGAAAAAAAAAAAAGATGAAGAAAGATTAGGTTTAGGTGGGCTATCATTAGCTCGTTCTTTCGCATGCTGTATGATCATCGATCGTCGGACAAATATTCCACTCTGATTTCGTAATTTGCTTTCTAAACCTGATTAATTATTAGTTAAAACTTGCGTAATTTGCATGTAGTACGCATCATTAGGGGTTTTACTGAGTAGTATGAATATGAATGATGCACAATTTCTTTGTTAAGGGTAAATAAATGGGGGTTTCCGGAAATCATATGAACTGCTGCTACATTATGCCATGATTATGTCATGCACATGCACTGCAACAGAATGAATGCATAAAATAAAAAGACTACAACAACAAAAAGCCTTTTTCACTTTTCCTGCCAAAGAAGAAGAAAAAAACAGTTTTGAATTGATTCCTCTTGTCCACCACCCTAAGCCCCCTAAGCATTAAGCAATGGGAGCCAATTTTCTCTCAGCTAAAAAGCCTAACCGGGCCCAGGATAAGGATTGAAGCCCCCCTCCTCAACATACATACAAAACTATACGTACAAAATATGTTCCCACCCCACAACGAAAAATGATACTGACTACCATCTCTCTCTAGGTTTGTTTGGATTGTGTTTTATTTGGAATATTTTTACTGTAGCACTTTTTGTGATGTGATATGTGTGAGATAAAAAGATAATTGGGAAGATAAAAAGGTGTATTGAAAATTGTAATGATGATGTAAACAGATAAAATTGAGGAAATAAAACACATATATATTCTCATTCCCGCGCACACACACGCACACACCTCCGTCCCTCTGTGTGTGTGTGTGTGAATGTGAATGTAATTATGTAATGGAAAAAGGAAGTGTGTGGAATATATATATATATATATCAAATCAAACACCTTCTCTCTATTAGTAAGCAAGCAAGCAGCCAAGCAATGCACTCTCCTCTGAAGCTTCAACCTTTGAGTTTTGAATTTGTGAAGCATTTTTTATTCTTGGCATTAGAGTCCAATAATAATTCTACCTGCAGGTCTGCAAGTAGTAAATGCACTCCTGTAAAAAGTACGTTGTTGTTTCCTCACCCTTTGTATTTTTGCATTAGATTAGATTAGATTAACCGCTGTACATAATTTCTCAACTTACCTTTACCCCTTTTTGTCTCAACATGTAGATTAACGAGTATGCATAATTTCCCAACTTACCTCCTCTGCTTCTCAACATTATTATTACTAGGAGATGATCACCGTGCTTGCGCACGGTGGTAAATTGTATATATGCCCAGGATCAAATGCTAGATAACATTTGTTGTTATGCAATCAGCGTTTAAAATTGAGCAATGAATATTCTAGCCGGATTAAATTAAGAGATTATGTTAATGATTCACAGCATAGGAAAGAGCGTAAAGGGTGCTATATAAAGTGCATTCATGAATAAGGAATACATTTGTAAGGATAAATGTAAAATATGTAACTTTTATTTAAAGGGAAATGCATGCTGTGCACCACCAACGTACATGGAGAAATGGATAACAAAGTAATAGCTGGAGTTTTCAAACTACACGTTCATTAGAAAAGTCATTAGGATAAAACTAAGTTGTCGCATCTCCCATGGTAGAACACACATGAAAGCTGTCATACCATGGGAAATGCTTTTCTGCACCGTTTCTATCAAAGATTAGAACAGTGTAGGTAGTAATGGATTCAGGAACAAAGACCAAAACTTCTCGAAACTGTAATCGGTGCTGTGCCACAAAGATGTTCCAGTTGGCCATAAACTGCCTTTCACGCATTGAAACAGTTATTGTTTTGTTTCCAGTCCTCAGAGTAAGTGAAGGAGTCTTTCTACTATGGACGAACTGAGCAACAAACCTTGGGACTTTCTAGCATTGCATGGACCAAAAGCTAAGAGTGCTATGATATATAGATGTAAAAAATTGAATAAATCTATATATAAAACTTACAAAGTTATGCCGATTCTGTTTGTCAGTGAATTGATAGAAGCACACACCTGCAGTTAAGGTTTGTACGAAATCATGCCTCATTGATGATGACACTCACTGCCGTATCATGTTCAGCTCCTTATCACCTGGAATTAAAAGGACACTTGCATGAGGGAAACAAATTTAAAAGTATAAATGGCCCGATAAAAAAAAATGGTTAGCACTTAACTTTCTAACTCAAGGGATAGCTGTGAATGTAGCATATTAGGCAGAGGATTTGTCCATGGCATGTATACTTGTTTTTTGTCTTCGCAAAAATGGATGACATCGACGATTAGGTGACCAGCATGTCGGAGCAAGAAAAAGTATTTTTCCTTGATGATGTTGCTGCGGCAAAACTCTTGCCATCCTTCAGCAAATGACTGTCGATGAAGCTTGATAATCCATGTTCTATATCCTTCTCTGATGGTTAGCTGGCTACATCGGTGTTTGATTAGAAGGGCTTGAAATTGAATAGCCAAAGTCTGCAGTTCAAATGTAAATATAAGCCGCATGAGAAGCAATATCAGATGGCAAGCTATGCTAGTAGCAGCAGAGTGCTAAAACATCTTAATACCTGGTCAGGCTCAGTACATCTAAATAAGAACCAGCATCCTTTTGCAACCCTATCGTTGAGGCATTTCTTGGTAGCGCTTGCGACAGATTGATTTTCTATCCATGGAACCCAAAACCGCTAAGCAAACAATGGCAACCACTTTAAAACACAATCGCCTTGCAAGAGATACAACGAGCTTCCCAACAAGGCAGAATATGAATCCACCAATAAGGCATTAGCACAATGTGAATAGCTTTACAAGGGCTAAGCAACAACGGCTATAGAAAGTTTTTTAGGTGGAACAGAAGGTGGCGAAAAAGCTAAGTTTAAAAAAGGCACCGGCACAACCCAGAAGCATATGTATGGAATGAAAACGAGAAGCTAACAAAAAAGAGATAGCAAAGAAACGAGGGGAAAGCAATTTCAAAAGCACCGGATACACATAAAAAAATGCATGCAAGATACAAGCGGCGGAAAAAAAGGTAAAAAAAGAACTAAAAGAGAAGCGGAAAAAGAACACAACAGGTACCTTTTTTGTTTTTTTTAGAGTGAAAACTGAAAGAACAGCTACGACGGTGACGCCAACACGAGCAAAGGACGGACATCAGTACGGGGTAGACCAACGCAGGAGCAATAGAAAGTGCAGGAAGGTCACATACAATGGCAAAGAGAAGACTAAAAAGATGCCGCAGAGATGCCAAAAAAAGAAGGCCAAAGGCCTAATAATAAGGACGAGAATGCAGGATAGAGAATTTATGAAAAGCAGAGAAGAGGAGCACGAGAAGCTGGCAAGACAAGTCTTGGAAATCAAAGAAATTATTAGGTTGCAGGCAGAGCAAACTTTGGCAACCAATACAGAGCATGCCAGTAGAGACGAAAATGCAGTTCTTCATCGTCGTTCACAGAAAGGTGGGAAGGGAAGTTATGAAAAGCAGAGAAGAGGATGCACGAGAAGCTGGCAAGAGAAGTTTTGGAAACCAAAGAAATGATTAGGTTGCAGGCAGAGCAAACCTCCGCTACTAATGGAGAGCTTATAGTAGGATTTAATTCTAACAACCAATAGTAAAAATAACAATGCAGCTGCCACCGAAACAATATATGATGTTCACGAGATAAGCAGTCCGCCGTTTATACAGATATAAATAAAAGCGCAAGGATGCTTGCTCAATTCCAAAGCAGAGGGAGATATGCTGCTCATTAACTTCGCCATTTACCTGCCGTTTACACATATAAATGAAAGGAATGATGCTTGCTCAATTCCAAAGCAGAAGAGGAATCCGGCTTTATTATTATTATTACTACCTTAGTTCCAAAATAGCAATAACAACTAATTCACATGTGAGACTCACATGGAGGACGACCACACTCTCAAACAATCTGGCCGGTTTATACTACATTTCTAAATTATTTAGTCCTGCCAAAGACAATATAATGACATCAAAAATGGAAGCAGAAAGACCGGCCGCCATTACATTATGATTTATGACAACCTCACCCGAACCACCCCTCCTCACTGGAGCGTGGCGGAAGCCCAACTTTTTATCAACAGGCCCAAGTCTTGACCCAATTCACTGGTTCTTAGGCCCAATCTACGAATCTGAACTTTGTTTGAAACACTTGGGCGGGAGTATGGCCTGAATTTAAAATTAACAAAGCCCAGCAGAGGCCCAGTAACTCTGAACATTATTAGCTAAGCCGATGATCAGCTCAGAGCTTCGTCGTTGATAACGCAGTCGGTCGGTCGCTCCGCATCAGCTCTCGACCTTCAGGTAAATCTAATCTCCCCTTTCTTTTTTTTCTTTTTTTTTTTTTTTCACTTTTATCCATTTCCTTCATTTAACATTCGCATCACAGTTTAATCATTTCTCGAATACCGAAGCTCCATTGTGACGCCGAGGGTTTCGATTCGATTCTGATTATGAATATCAAATTTGATTCCATGCTAATCGAATTGAATCCTGCTCCTGGTTTGAGCCTACAAGGCTCAGTTAGCGTTATGATTTGAATCAACAAATATGAACATAATTATTATTTTTTTTTTTTGAGTTTAATTTCCACTCTCGTTTTGTGTGTGTGTGTGTGTTAGGGTGAAATTTAGCAGAAAAGGACAGGAGAAAAAGGGGGAAAAGATGAAGTTTATAATGGAATTTGCTGAGAACTTGGTGCTGAGGATGATGGAGGATCCAAAGGAAAGGGATAGGAAGTTCAGGGAGCACTTGTACCATTTGAAAGACAGGTGTAGCAAGACCAAGGAAATGTGGAGCCTCCCTCTTCGTCCTTATGGGTTTTGGACCTTCGAACGCCACAATTCCCAGATTTTCTGGGATGCTCAGATCAGCCAAGTTCCTGGCCGCCGTGATCCTTATGATGACCTCCTCCAGGGTGCCTACAATGCGGATCCTACCTCCACCCAGAAATAGTATGTTCAGAGTTTCCACTTGTGCAATTCAATGCGTGTGTATAGTTTGCCATGTCAATGCAAGTAATCTCTTGTTGTTTGTCTGCATTCGCCAGGGTGGGGGCATCTTTCCCCTCTTTGGGGGGCTTGCTTGAATTTTTATCTGTCAGTATATAGCTTTTTGATCCGTTCAATTTCTTTTAAGTTTCACTTTATATCATGTAATGCTGTGTTGATAGAGGTAAACATTTGCTATGCATGGTGTGTTGCACATTAAACAATTGTTTGTGAATTACTTCGTGCTTTGCTCTCGAATTTGTCTCAATGATTTCTGACGAACCAGCTGAGAATTAGTTGAGCCTCTTAGATCATTAACAAACTATCTTACCTTAGATCTGCAATTTTATTTTTTTTTGTACTTCATTTGGAAGTGTGTTATAAGTGCTAGCTCTAAACACTTTACTCTCTTCTTCTAGAAAACATAGTTCTATGCTGCCTGCTGGCCTTTCTCTTTACAGGGATATGCATCTTGTACTCTTTCCGCCGTAATCTTGTGCTGTCTGGAATCCTATTCGCCTTTTATCCCCTTGCTCTGCATGCATAAAGATGCTTCCTCTAGAAGGTTGTCAAATGTTTATAAGCGAGGCCGTTCACTAAGTCACAGGTTTTTTGTCATGTTTTTGTTTAGCCCTGTAACTTGCGACTGATTTCTGTTTTGGTGTATATTACCTTTTATTTTGCGTACCACATTCCACTTGCTTTACAGCCAAAGTAGTCTTAAACAAGTAACGGAACAAGAAAGAAGAGAGAAATAGAAAGAAGTGTCAGGGAATGTTGGAGTGCAAGGCTGGAGAATGGCCAGTTTTGGATTTTGGTTTGCTAGGAGTGATTTTATGCTAATTCTCGTTAACACTAAATAGCTTATTTGAAATATTATTTTAAATAATTACTGTAACACTTTTTGTGATGTGATATATGTGAGATAAAAAGGTAATTGAGAAGATAAAAGGGTGTGTTGGAAATTATATTTGTGATGTAAACAAATAATTTCTAGCCATTATTTGGCTATCCAAACACACACAAAGTTTTTTAGTTGAAAAAAGAAAAGATACGTGGCTGGAGCAAACCAGACATCCAAACGATCCGCATATTTGGAATGTCCACAAAAAATTCGTGTTTGGACAGTTATGTTTTGGCTTCAGGATTGAGTTTCAACTTTCGTTTCTAATTTTTAAGCAAGACATGAATCTCTGTGATTGAGGACTAATATTTATTGATGTTTTTCTATTTGCAGGGTGAGGGTAAACATCATGGGAAGTACGAAAGAGACAAATTGATCAAGAGCTTTGTTGATTCTTGATGCTTCTGTAGCGTCAACCATATTCAGACTTGTCAATACTTTCCCAACTGCTTTAACTCCAATTAAGGATGTTCAAATTGTAATGTTGTTACTTCACAAGCTTGCTGTGTTTCCTTTTAAGTTTGCTGATGACTGTCAAGTTGGACTTGTCAAGGCAACCATGCCCCGATGTGCTGCCGTGTTGCTACTAATTATTTGGTCGAACACTTGCCTGAATTCTGCAGATGGTAAATTGCAAAGGCACACTTTCGGGCATTACGGTCTGCCTCCAGAGATTCAGATGGTCACGCACCAATTCTAATCTCTGTTAGCATTTTAGTTCTAGAGAAAAGCAATAATCCAGTCTATTGGCATCCAAATACTTCTATCAGAATATTTGAGGGTGTGGAATGTTGATCCAAAATGTATGCAAATGACGTCCGGGGTATGGGCATTTTGATGTCTTGTACGCGGAAGCAACTTTTTCCGGGATTCTTTATATGATATGGATTAAAATAAAAATCGAGCCTGGGTGATACGCATGAGAGCCAAGCCCAGCGGATCGAGCCATTGATCCCAAAGGAGCACATCACGCTTAGAGGCCCGAAGATACAATTCGACGCGTTGCTCACCCCTTCAGAAACCAAAACCAGCATCATTCACAATCACGCCTCGGACAATGTCAACAGCACAGAACTAAGTCAACAAAATTCAAAGACCAATGACTAGATAGGCAATCATTAATCTTGGACAATTTGCACAAAGCCAGATGACCACACGAGTTGGGTTTTTTATAACCGAATAGGAACACAAAAAAGAACTTCATACCATATTTGACAGGAATATTATGAGCGACTTTACAAAGACTGTCTACCCGCTCCAGCAGAAATTACTACAACCAAATTCTCCACAACACACCTATAACTGCCTCTTCAGAGAGCACAAAATCATCATTCTAGTCTGTTTCACTTGAAGTAACCCCAACATCCTTCTTTGCTGCAGCTGCCTCAACTTGTTTATATGCCTCCGCCACATCCTCAACAGGAACTGACGGGAAATAGCTGAAGATATGATAACCCCTACCATCCAGCTTTGCTATAAATTTGTTATATTTATTGGACACATCAGCAACAGTTGGGATAGCTATCCCTCCGACACCGTGCAGGGGCGGATAGCGATTGATGAGTCTATGCCATAACACTGCTAATAGCCTCACAGCAATGTTCTTGGACAGTGAAGCAGCATGACGAAGGGCTGCACGAGGACCACCAACTTGAGCTTGCTGGACCAAATCTTGGGCAACCTGTGAACCCTTCTGGACTACATTCTTTGCCCTATTAACAATCTTCTTGGCCACCGGTGGAGCATGCTCATCAAATTTCTTTGACACATTATCAACCTGATACCACAAAGCAACATTATGCAGTGAGACTACTGCCCACCACCCCCCCCCCCAAAAAATAAAACACCACCCCAAAAAAAAAAGCATCTGTAAATGGATAGGTATCTGCAAATCTAAGTACTTTTAATTAAGGAAAAATTACAAAGCAAATAGCCACATAACGGTTAACAGAAGATAATCCTGTGCTTGTCATCAAAATGACAATTGTAATGAATAAATCCACATCCTGTTATAAAGAATATGAGAAATGAAGCACACCACACATCTAATTGGAAAAAAAATAAATATCCACCATCACATGATACTGTGATGAACAAAATTTAGCAATAGCGGGCGAACGGCAACAAATGAAAACATCAAATCAGAAACAATAGTTAAAGCAATATGGAACACAAAAAACTGAAAGAAGTGCACAAATCAAATCAGAAACAATAGTTAAAGCAACATGGAACACAAAAAACTGAAAGAAGTGCACAGAAAGTCCCGAGAAATTGTCCACACAAGAGACGCTTGAACCGTGAGCTAGGTAGTGATCATATAAGGCTTGAAACTGGAAGTAACATAAAGAGCACAAAAAATGCATCAGGACATTACACCAAATATAAACATTATATTTGCATCAGTCAATTCCTGCACCAATACATCACCAAGGCTTCAGGCTCTAATTAACAATTTTATCAGAACATTTCACATCTTAACCCTTTAATGAGGATACTCTATAACCCAATTCAGATTGGAAAAATTATGTAAAATCATATATATATATATATTCAGACCGTCCAAATCCCACTCATTTTGCCCAACTCCTGATTAACCAATTATCATCTTTGAATATATGAACACAAATCAACTGAAAATCAAAATCCCAAAATCATAACAGTTTCTTATCAGACTCTTTTCAAATCAACCAGTCAGTCTATCAAATTAATTGAAACTCCACCTTCCAACTACACACACGCAACTAGCAAGAAATGGAAAACATCAAAATGATCAATAAGAGAACACAATATACAACACATAATCGATCCAACTAATAGCACCTTTGTATCTAGACGAGCAAGGAGATCGTCAGGAAGGCCCTTGAATCTTTCGTAAACAGGGCCTACGACGGTAGTAACGGCGTTCTCCACAGTTCCTACGGTTGATTTCAGGGGTCCAGAATTTTGCTTGGCGTAGTCGTACAAGCAAGAAAGCCACACCACGGCGATGCTCGCCATCGCTCTAACAAACCCTAAATGCTTCAGTTCTAGATCGCTCGTCTCCATCTCAACCTACAGAACCCACAAAAAGATTTCCACACAGAAAATCAATCAAAAGTTAACAATTTAATTTTCATTTACAAGAAAAAAAAAACACGAGTATATGCAAAGAGTCGTACCTTATTCGAAACAATTTTTTTTTTTTTTTTTTTGGGTCGCGCCGTACTAAATACTGCACTGAGTAATTGGTGGGAGGGTTTTACTCACTTTTAAGTTTAGTAGACTGAGCTAAGCTAAAGCTGCTAAGCCCAGGGGCGGATATATCCACACAATAGAGGTTTGGGTGCGATTTTGGAGATAATCTGTATGATCCGACGGCAAGCAAAGATCCACGTGGAGAATCTTTTGTCCTTTTTAAAATGCAGAAAAGCCCCATGAACTTTCATAGTTGTTGCACAATACACCCCAAAATATTTTATAAAGCATTTTGTATCCAAACTCTACTAAAAAGTAACCAATTTTTATACAACATTTACTTTACCACTTAAATGATAGCTGTATCTTCAAATAATAATTGAATGGACAAAAGCACCCTTCGTGTCCGGTTGGCCATTATGTTACATGGAGAGCTGTTCAAATGTAAGGCAAAAGAATTTGACTGAACTCGTTTTCACTATCTCCATTCTTGAATTTGCCAACCAATTTTGTTTTTTTCTTCTTGAGTTTGCTATTTTAGATTCTTCAACCCGTTGCATGGAAAACTCGTTTTCACTAAATAGTGAAACAGCAGTCATAAAAATGATTGGAATGTTTAGGGATAAACTATACGTTTATTATATCTATGTTGGAGAGGTAAATGATAATGGGGATACAGAAAATAATAATAAGGGTGAGTAAGATGGTAATAAAACTGTAGTTAATGGCAATATAAGTGCTAATCAGGGAGTTGGGAATAGTAATGATAGTTTAGGGGCAGGTGAAGTGAATGATAGTTTTGAACCAGAGGTTGACCATGATGTAAATAAATTAAAAATATAATCTGATGAATCATATATACTTAAAAGTGAGAAATCTTTTGAATTTGACTCATATTTTGGTTATTTCTTAGATGGTAACACATTAAGTTATCGTTGTGATATTGGTGATGATACTACTGAGGTAACTAGTAGGTTGAATAACAATATTAACTTAGAACAGTATCAACAATATACTAATTTAATTAGTGATAAGTATAGAACCTTTGTTGAGGTTAGGAAAAAGGGTAAGTTTGTTGAGCATGAAAATATTGTTGATGCTAAAGTACTAGAAACTGTCATTAAGTCATCTGATAATGAAAATAGAGAACAATTTCATGAGTTTAATGAGGAAAGAGACATAACTAATCATAAAATTATGATATGCCTCATTTTCACAACCACACATGTGTTTAGGAAGGCAATTCAGATGTATTCCATCCTTAAAGGTTTGAGTTGAAACTCCAAAAAAATGATAGAAATAAAATCATTGCAATATATAAAAAAGACTATGATTGTAGGATATATATATAAGTTATTATGGGAAAACTGAAGCATTGCAGAGCAAGAGCATAAAGGGCACCTTTTATAGGTGTCCTTGGTCTTTTAAAAATGTAAGTGCAAATTCCAAATGGTTAGTTGAACACTTCAAAAAGAAAATGGCTGATGATTCTGATTGGAGACTTAAGAAATTTCAAAAGACAATTAAAAGAAAGTTCAAATCAAGAGTTTCTAGATGAAAGGTGTACAGGGCCAAGAAACTTGCACTTTCTAAAATGTCGGGGATCATGAGAAAAAAAATTTCAGACTTAGAGATTATTGCGCAACCATTATGCTGAAAATTCTGATTCTGTAGCCTATGTAATGATAGAAGTTGTTCCAGCCTCTGCCAGTCTCATATTTCAGAGAATGTTTGTTATGTTTGGGGCATAAAAAATGAATTTATCAATGGCTACAGACCGATTATGGGTTTAGATATTTGTTATCTTAAAGGATGTTTTGAGAGACATTTAATACATGCTGTTGAGAGGAATGAGAATAAACAAATATATCCTATAGCAATAGCATGTATGGAATCTGAATGTAAGAAAAGTTGGCATTGGTTTCTAGAAATTCTGGCTACTCACATTGGATTACCAACTAACATGAATTAGGTGTTCATTTTTTTATAAACAAATGGTAAACTTGCCATTTATTTTTTCCAATATTCATATATTAGTTTATTACTGCTATACAATTAAATCCAATCGGATTGATGGTGCTACTGTTTTGTAGAATTTAGTAGAGAAATTTGGTGTGTTGTTTCCTGAGGTGGAACATGGGTTTTGTGTTAGGTATAAATATGTCAATTTTGAACTTAAATGTAAGGACAAGGCACTTAGAAATATCATGCAGGCTGCTGCCAGAGCATATGAGTTAGATAGTTGGACACAAAAGATGAGAGAACTCCAAATTGCTAAAAGGGAAGCTTTATGACTGGTTGAGTGCTATTCTAGCTCATCTTTGATCAATGTGCATGTTTAATCCAAGATCAAAGTGCGATATTTTGAGCAACAACATTAGTAAATCCTTCAACCAGTATATGAAGGGGGCAAGAATGGAGTCAATGTTATATATGTTTAAAACGATTAGAAGGCTTATCATGTATAAATACCAAGAAAATAGAGAATTCATATCTAAGGTCAAGGGAAAAATTTGTCTAAGAATCCATAATAAGGTGAAGGAAATTACAGTATGAGCAAGAGAATATGCAGCTATTCAAGCGAGTCAAGGTATATGGGAGATCACAGGTTATGCATAGCATAAAATTGTTAAATTGAATGCAAGAACTTGTACTTGTAGAGAA